GCAAAACAGATGGACCGTTTGTTAACATGGGAATTGTAGGAGTACTGACCATCATAGTTAGAGAGATGCAGCTGAAGAAATTTGAACAACCTGTGAAGGTCATTGGCTGTTGAATGCTATCCTAGATCAGTGCCTTCTCATAAGAGGTATTGGCGCTTGCATTTGCGTCTGGTGAGCTCAGGTTAGTTGAGTAGGTCGGGTGATCATGTTCATGTTTAGGATTAGACACCAGGCAGCCAAGGAGAAAGGTGGACTTGGAGGTCTTGGAAATTCTAATCCTCTTCGCTATTGTACACAGAGAAAGCAAGTGAATCACAAAATATTCTCATGCAGCATCCTACACTCAGGACAACTACATTCCTAGACCTGCCTGGGTATCTTGAGTGCAGAAGTCACACACAGTGTCATTTGGACCAAATTTTGATCTTTTACTTTTTTGTTCTTTTACTCTTCACACACAAGAAAGTGGTATTCATGGATTAAAACTGATCATCAATTGGCTTTGGGGTGTCCATCCTCTCTAGACTTTTTTGTGTTTGTTTTAATATGGGAAAAGCCTTTGACCCATGGAATAAAACTGTTCTACATTTAAATTTTTATATGGGACCAGGGATTGAACCCAGGACCCTAGCACCGAACTACATTCCAAGCTCTCCCTTATTTTTTATTTTGAGAAAGTCTCAAATCTGTTGTCTCTTACTTCAGCCTTCCAAGTGTAGGGATTACAGACAGACGTGTCACACACAGTCTCTGGCGATGTTGGAACATTTTTAACATTGCATGCGTGCATGCGCACGTGTGTGTGTGTGTGCGCGCGTGCATGCGTGCGTGTGTGTGCGCCTGTCTGTTTGGGAACTGAGCCTGCATCTTTGCCCTGAACTACATCCTCAGTCCTTTCCTTACTTGTATTTATTGTTTTGATTTTGAGACAGAGTCTCGCTAAACCATCAAGTTGTAATTGCTGGGCTCTAACCTCCCGTCTCGCTCCTTCAGCCTTTCAGACTGCTGGGCTGCAGGTGGGAGTCTACCCAGCCTATGAGTGACGTTGTTCCATTTCTTAGTGTTTCTCTTTTCCAAAACCAAAAGGGATGCGGAGAGTGATTTGACGCATTGGGAAGAATATCTCCTTGAGAAAGCAGCACAGAGTATCTGTGATAAGTCTCTCCTACCCCTCAGTGACCTTAGAGCAGAGAGGGGCAGTCACTGATGCAGAGGTTTGCGTATTTCAGTATCCTCCCCCCCCCACTACCCCTGGCTTATTCCTGAGTGGAGAAAACAACCGAAGGCAAGGTGATTCTCCCCGCAAACATTTGCTTTGCATTTGCAATTGCAGAGAGTTCTCCTGGGGACATTGTGAGGCCAGAGAAGGACCCCATCATGGCTCTTGACCTCTGGGGCTGCCACTTAGTGAGAAAGACAGACATCATTAAATGGGCATTTTGCAGCAAGGAGCAGTGAAACGCACATCTTGACAGTAACAGGCTCAACCTTGGAGAGAGGCGAAAGAATGGGGCCTTTCTTCCCGTTCAGCAAGTGTCAGGGAAGTGTCACAGAGGGGTGGCATTTGGTCCGAACCTGGAAGTATTTAAGTGTCTGTAGTCAGAAAATAGACAGAAAGATATTTCAGAGTTTTAAAATCATCCCAGGCTATGGTCACAGGACCTGGCCATGTCTTTCTGGGAAAGCTGGGTTCAAAGGCAAAGACATAAGAACCGCCAGGCGATAAGCTGAAAGGGCAGTGGGAGGTAAGCACAGAGATGGAGAGATGGAGAGATGGAGAGAAATCCACCTTCTTCCTAGAGAAATTAAGATGCAAGCAGAGGACCTGAGAAGAGGGAGGAGTCTCCCTTCTCATTTAGAAAATAATCACAGTACTTTGTCGTGAAGAGTGAATTAATGAGCAACGAGATGGACCAGGAGATGCACTTCAAAGCTACTATGAAGGTCAAGGGTAAGATAGAGCAGTGAGGGAAAGGAGCATCTGTGGTCACCGTGGAGACTGAGGACTTGGCAATTCCTGGAAGTGTGCTTTGCAGGAAACAACTAGGTGGTGGTCTGTGCGAGAACAAACAAAAATAACCTACCCCAAGAAACTGTGTTGTCATAAAGACACAGCATGGAAGCAGCTATTTTGGGGAGAAGAAATTAAGATGAAAATTGTGCAGAGAAATTTAGCAGGTGTGTGTAGGGAAGGAGGTTGGAGGATGGTGGCTTTCCCCCTAGCCAGGGACTGGGGACAGATCTGAGCATCATTTGCTTAGCAGAAATCACTGTAAGGTTCTGCAGTCCAGATACAAGTCTATGATGCAGGCTTGGAAAACCCTCAAGCGGGGGCTGAACAGGAACCGGGCCTAGCTCGGTGAAGGTCTGTGCCAACTAGGAGAGCAGCAGCTACTGGCCGGCCAGTTGTTGGAAGGATTTCCTTCTCGATCAAAAGGCACTACTTTCCTCTGCTTTACTAGGTGGCTTCTCCTAATTTGAAATGCAGAAAGAGGAAGGGAATTGAGAGAGAAACCTGAGACCAGGGCATAGCACCAGGCAACTCAATCAATCTTCCTCAGTGACCACTCATCCGTTTCACAGGATCCAGTGAGTGGGATTCATGGAATTAACTAGCTGTATGCAGCCGTAACCCAACCACACAGCAATGGAGAATGCCATGAGAATGCTAAATGTATTCCCTAGAAAATATTTCTTTAAAAACGAAACAAAACAATGACCTTTGCCTTCTATATTAGTCTGCATTTTAAATCACCCAACACTATCCCGCTAAACATTTGATGAGTTTAAAATTTCTTCAGAGACGTGAGTTCAGATCAAAGAGATTCAGCCACAACACCAGTGCGCATCAGATCCTATTTACATTATTTTGCACATTTTCCAGAATTCTCTTTGATTAAACTGAATGGATGGAAAAAAAATAAGTGGAACATTGTGAGCTGGGTTTCTCAAGTGTGTTTTCAGTGGCAGAAAACGATCTTCATGCTGACCACTGTTCTTTATGTTATGACACTGTTGGTTCCATCTGATTCACTTAATCCCACCTATCCTTTAGTATTGTATATTTCTTTTTCTCCCTCAAATGCATGCCGATTCTTCTGGCAGCTGAAAAAAAAATTGAAGCCATAGTTCTGGAGTGGTTTTGAACAAAATCAGAGTGGAGCCAGAAGTGGCGGTGCACACCTGTCACCCCAGCATTCTGGGGTGCTCAGTCAAGAATGCATGGCAAGTATGAGCCGACCACAGCCAGCTTAACAATTTAGCAAGAGGCGGTCTCTAAGTGCACAAATGCATAAAAATTTAGAAAAGGTTGGGGATACAGCTCTGTAACAAGGCCCTGTGTTCAGTCCTTTAAAAAAGAAATCAAAAGTATTAACTTCTTTAAAATGAGCCGGCCTGTGGAGATAGCGCGGTGGTCTGAGTGCCTGCCTGGCAAGCACAAGACCTGGGTTTGAGCCCAGTACCGCATGCATGCCGGCTGCGAACACCAGGCGGGGCACGCGGGCTACTGCAACCGGGCATAGTGGTGTACCCGCCTATAATCCCAGCGCTGGGAAGGCTGAGACGGGAGGATCACTACGAATCTGAGCTGCTTAGTGAGACCCTGTATCAAATAAATAAATAAATAAATAAATATTTTTAAAATGAGCCACCTTCAGGGGCCGTTGGAAGCAGGGCACTCCCTCAGGCCACAACTAAGCATTCTGAATTGATCATTTTTCAACTGTAAGTCGCTGAGTCAGTAGAGGATCCCTGTATAGCCTGGCGGGCATCCCAAAGGCTCACACTTTGCAAAGCACGTGGGTGAGATCTGATCACACGAGATTTACCTTTGCTATTTATTTATTTATTTATTTATTCCTGAATGAAAGGGAAAGTTCCCAGAGATGGCCGAGACACCAAACCCTGGAACCATGTCATAGCGACCTCAGAAGGTAACCATCGGAATGGACCATGTTAGACGCAGGGCTCACCCCTTGTTATAAAGGCCGACCGCTCTGTGTGGAGTCTCTGTTAAGCTCCTGGGAAGAGCGACTTAAGGCTATTAATTCACCGCTGTGCACGCGAAAGGGTGACGCTACAGAGGCACAGTGCGGAAAAGCTATGTCAGGCACCGGGGTTGATTTTTGGCTACCTGCGGAGGGTAAGGAAAAGCTAAAAGAACAAGGTCAAATGGTCTTTATATGTGCTCGGCGGCCCTTCCAACCAGAAGACTTACGCCGTGAAATCTGGTGCAGAAGGGCCAGTGTTCTGCAAGCAAACGCAGCGTCCACTGTGAGCAGATGGAGTCGCTCTCTCCGGAGCTTTCCTTCTTCACCTCTTTCACTCGAGTCCCACGATGGCTGTTTTACCCAGCATGACATGGTCTTGTTTCAGGGGTCCCCTTGAAGCCCAGAAAAGAGTTACGGTTTACTGAGCTCAAGTCGGGGCAGCTGGAGATAAAGTGGTCCTCGAAATTCAACGTTTCCATTGAGCCGGTCATCTACGTCGTGCAAAGAAGGTGGAACTACGGGATCCATCCGAGCGAGGATGACGCCACGCACTGGCAGACAGTGGCCCAGGTGAGTGCCTTGGGACCTCTCCAAAGAGAGTGTTTTTAGGGCTGGGGAGATGGCTCAGCAGACTAAGCTTAGGCAAGCACAGGGACGGGGGTTCCTGCCCTGGCACCACATGCCACTCCAGCCCCACCCATGGGCTCACTGAGCCTGTGACTGAGTCCAGGTGTGGTGGCACACGCCTCTAGTCCCTGCATTGGGGAGCCACCACGCCTGGTTTGGGGGCCAACACAGCACACCCACGGTTCAGCGACCAATATAGCATGGGGTAACGGGAATTGAACCTGGGCCCTTGAGCTTGCCAGGCAGGTGCTTAGACCGCTGAGCTATCTCCCCAACTCCCTGTGATTTTTTTATTTATTTGCCCTACACGTAAGCCTTTCCTTGGTGGCATGGTGCAAGATGCGGGTCACTAAGCTACTGTTGTGGGAAGTAGCCAGCAGCTCTTAAATCTGTGCTAAGTGCTTACTTCTCCTTCTTAGTCCACTTAAAAATGAACAGATTGGCTGAGTGGAAGCACTCCTAGAGTTTATCTTAACGCCACCCCCTTCTCATCTATCTTGATGAGAAAAGCAAAATATTTTCCTTCTTTTAAAGAGCTGCTAAGGGGAGCCCCAGCTGCAAAAAAAAAAAAAAAAAAAAAAAAAAAAAAAAAAAAAAAAAAAAGTACAAAAACAAAAGCAAAACCAAAAGTGGTTGTAAAAACAGAGAATAAATTCACAATGTGAAATTGCCTTATGCTTTTTAAGAACTGCATGTCCTCCTGCACAGTTGTGGTGGAGAAAACTTTTTGGCCTTATGGAATCAGTTTTCATCAGAAGCAAGATTCTTCCTCTGTTTTGGTAAACATGAAATCAATTGAGAGCATTTGGGTGTTTGGCAGAATTCTTCTTCCTCAGTAGTAAAAATCTCAAATGGCTTAGTGTTTAGCTAAATTAAAATCGAGACTTCAAAATGAGTAGGTTCAAGGTTCGGTTAAAAACACCTGAAGTTTGAAAAAAATAGACTGAGTCCAATAAATAAACGTAGCAATTACAATTTATATATCTGTCACAAGACAGAATTTGCTTCAACAAAATTTGAAGCTATTCACAATACAGAGTAAAGTTCCACTTGAATTCCATGACCTGTATCCATAAATAATGATACAGATCCATGTATGAATTATCTAAATTATTTAAATCATCCCTTTCTCCTCTCTTTTTTGGGGGGTAAAGAAAGCTCTTGAGTTATTGTAACTCTTATAATTATCAGTTAATGCTAACATAATTCTCATTCTCTCTGAAATCCAGTGGACATTATCGTAACTTTAAGCTTTTATAACTCGCAGCTGAGACTAAATGACAAAGGCAGCTGGGTGTGTTTTCCTAAATTCAGCCAAATCAGGCAGCACGGAGTGTTTAAGCCATGTTCATGCTCTTTGTTCTTAGAAGTGTGTATCTCTTTGAGCTCAGAAGTACTCAGAGATACTGATGCAGACTCTATGATCCTTTCCTGTAAGTTTTTGTCAACCGAGGTGTGGGACGGCTTCAACTCTGTGCCATGTCCCGCTTTCACCTGGGGGCTCCAGTGAGCGAGGCGTTAGGCACAGGTGAGTGGTAGGGCCAGGCGGCAGGTCCACCTGCTGAAAGCAGCCAGGAAGTGGAAAGACTGCCAGCACCTTTGTCACCCTCGGAGGTGTAGCAGCAGATGCAGGAGAAACTATCGACCCTGCCCCGTGAACAGTTTGTCCTTTGGATAGTTATTTATTTGATATTTTCTCCAAAATATGAAGAACACAAATACGAGCACTTTATTTTAAAAATCAGACACAAAATATTGGTGTAAACCCAGAGTTTTAAATGTTTCCATTTTGGATAATTCACTTAAGAACCTATACAAGAACTGGTGAGGTGAGGTAGTTCAGTGGACCAAGTGCCTGCTTTGGCCAACCTTACCAATGTTGGCCAGGCCAATTTTTGGCCAATGTTTTCCACTTATTCCTAGGTGTCTATGGGAGGCTCAGTTCCAGGGTCCTTCAAACCTGATGGTGCTCAAACCCCATATGGGGTGACAGTTGTTCCCCCTCTGTACTCCCTTCAGTGCCCTCTAAATCCTCTAGATGACCTCTAATACCTACCACTAGGTGAAGGCTTTCTAAAGACTTACCTCACTGTATCCTTTAAGGACTAATGACGAGGAAAAAGTTCCATACAAGCTTGGTACACACGCAGATCTTTTCCCAAATGTATTCCCTCAATGCTGGTTGACTCTGTGGCTGCGGAGCTGATGGATACAGAGGCTGGAGTACACTTGACATCGGAGGTATATGAAAAACGAGTAGAATGAAAGTCTACATTAGAAACAATTTATTATACCAAAAGACACTTTGATTTTAATCTCTCTTAAAATACCTCCTGACCTTGTTTCAAGCACAGTTATCTCAGCATTCTTGCCACATTCTGAAGCAGTTCTTTAGGAGGTATGATTTAAAAAAGTACAGTGAATATTCTTGCCGGGTGCTATCCAATATAAAACATCCTATAAAAATATGATGTTGTATCCTCATCGGCCATACTCACCAAATCTGGTACTGTGCAACCCCTCAGTCTTACTCAGAGTCTAAATCTTATATCACCCTTTAGGACTATGACCAGTTCTTCCCAGATGTGTGTGTTCCACTGGAATTTGTCCTCCCCCCTCTTTCTGTCTCTCTCTTCCCTCCCTCCCTCCCCCTTCCCCTCTTCCTCTTCCCTCTAACTTCTTTCCTGTCATGCATTCATATCTGTCAATCAATTTACCTATCGATTGATTCATCTGTATTTTGAGCTCCAGTTTACATCTAGAAACTGTTAGCACTCTCTTAAGCGTATGGGGTTTTTCTTTTACAAACTTCCAGCGTTATATTCCAACTTACATTTTGGCATATCGTTTCAAGAGTCATTTTACTTGCTAGAATCTAAGAAATATTTTCTTTACTTGCCTATAATGTAACTTTTGCACTCACATCCTTCCCTGATTAAAGCCTGAGATGTTCAGTTCGTCCATCAGAGCCAAAAACACCCCAAGCAGTTGTCCTAGACTTGTACTTCCCGAGATGCTTGACTCTTTGGGAGGCAGTACGGAAATGGTCTTCAGCTGCGGGAATGCTTTTTCGAATCAGGGCCTGCTGAACTCGGCTAACCAATACGGAAGTCAAGGCTAGGTGCACTGACCCGTGCACTTGGGAGTTTTTAGAAACACACCCAACTGACACGTTAGACCAAAAAGTCACGCGTTCCCTGTGCCTTGTGGCATTTTTTCTCAGACCACAGACGAGAGAGTGCAGCTGACGGACATAAGGCCTAGCAGATGGTACCAGTTCCGGGTGGCTGCGGTCAATGTGCACGGCACCCGAGGCTTCACAGCTCCCAGCAAACACTTCCGGTCTTCCAAAGGTCAGTTTCCCCTCCCTGCGGTGACCCTGGACTCACACCTTGCTTGTGGGCGGGCACGCGTGGGAGGCAGATATCCTCTCGGCACAGTCACGGGTGGCTGGCCAGGGGTGGCTTCGGGTTTCTCGGATGACAAGTGGGCTCAGCGGTGTCTGGAGGTACCATGGAAATACGTGATGAAGGACAGCACAGAGAGCCCATCTCCCAGGTGTCACAGAAAATAACATACTGGTGTTTCTGAAACTTTGAAGGGAGGATTTTCCATGATCAACTTTGAAGGGAGGATTTTCCATGGTCAACTTTGAAGGGAGGATTTTCCATGGTCAACTTTGAAGGGAGGATTTTCCATGATCAACTTTGAAGGGAGGATTTTCCATGGTCAACTTTGAAGGGAGGATTTTCCATGATCAACTCCTGTTGGGTTTGTTTTATTTAAGATATTCTGCATCAGGCAGCGTTCACTTGGGGGCGGGGGGATGCCAAGTTTTGGCTACTTTGGGTAGCATAACCTTTCTTAAGAATATTTATTTATTTTCATTTTTAAAATTTTTATTGCAAAATAAATATGAATGAGACAGTTTCACAGCTGGTTAATAGGACAGTTTGGTAATCAATACACTGTACATTGTTATCTTCTTAGTAGTCATCCATAGTACAAGAAGCAGACAGGATAGCCTGTCCAAACACTATTAGTACAAATCTTTCTTCTCATTGAATTAAGCGAAAGTAGCTGTAAATTTATCCTATTTTGTATATATAAATACAAAATTATCTTTCCTTTGTATCCTTCTTTTTTTGTCCTGTCAGAGGTGAATATTCTATTGGCATCTAAATACTATAAGTGTTTGAATTCAACTAAACAATCTAACACTGTCTAGCAGTCTATAATATTAGTGGGTTATCCTCAGAAGTTATTGACTTGAGCCTTTTACAACTCATCATATTAATATGGATTTACATTATATACCTCATTTTTGTACTTTTCTGCTGGATGGTTAAGACCAACATATAGCAAGACCTATATAACAAGAAATGGCTGCATCCTTATTTTCATTTTTTAAAAGAGAGTTTTAAGGGCCGGCCAAATAGCTCAGCAGATTAAATCGCCTGCAAGCAGGCACAGGGGATGGACAGGGAGGCGTACACCTGTAATTCCAGCTCTTGGGAGGCTATAAACAGGCGGATCACTATGAGTCTGATCTAATAGTGAGACCCTGAACACCCTGTAGACCCTTCCCTAAAAAATACGAGAGAGAGAGAGAGAGAGAGAGAGAGAGAGAGAGAGAGAGAGAAAGAGAGAATTTTGAAAAGTTAGAAAGATTACAAATGATACAGAACACGCTGTAGAGATAGCTCGGCAGCCTAAGCACCTGCCTGGAAAGCGCAAGGACCTGGGTTGGATCCCTGGCACCACATGCCTCTCCAGCCTTGGGAGCCTGGATACTGTGCTGGCCACTAAACCTGGGTGTGGTGGTACATCCCAGTGCTGGAAAGGATCAGACAGGAGGATCACTACGAGTCTGAGCGGTATAGTGAGACCCTGTACCCAATAAATACATAAATAAAAAACTAAAAGAAGAAATGATACAGAATTTCATTAAGCAAAATGCTGGGAATTCAACAATGGTTGTTCTGTTGCAACCCCATCTTGAAACAATTGTTAAACCGATTGTGACTTAGCCTCTTACTTCTATTGGATTGATCCGGAATTTTTAACCTGACTTGAGATGTTTGATCATCGACATCCATCTGTTGTGTTCTTATGCTTTTGCTAGTGTAAGGCCTCCGTGGGCCTGGATGGGTATGTGTACTCTATCCCATCAGGGCTAGTGGACTCTGTAAAAATTAAAGGGCAGAATCTGCACAGGCCATAATGTCCTTGCGTTTATCTCTGTTTGCACACCTGAAAGCGGCTATGCAGTTTCGAGTCAGTTTAACGCCTGCTTGACTCAAGATCTGGCTTCAGGGACACAGCTTAGCCACGTCCATTACTGCCCAAGGTTATCTGCTTACCTGGAAGAAAGTCCATATGTACTTCCAACTGAATGCATTATGGTATTAAGGAATAACGTAAGGCTTATAACGTCGACAGTATTACTGCAGTTTCTGTTCTGTGAGCGAAAATGGGCACATCTCAGTCTATCCTGTTACCCCTCTATGACATTGCTACTCTAAAATATTGGTAAATATATAATACTGCTATTTGGTAATCCCTGTATAATCTCAACTCTCAAAGGCAAAACTTACAATCAAGATGATTGATTTATTTTTATTTTTTATTTTTATTTTTATTTTTATTTTTATTTTTTTGTGGAACCAGGGATTGAACTCAGGCCCTTGCGCTTGTCAGGGAAGCGCTGATTCTACTGAGCCATCTCCCCGGCCCCAAGAAAATTTAGTATTTGGATTCCATTACAGAATACATTTCAAAGGTAGTATTTTAACTGTCTTTGAAAAAAAATCATCTTTTATTTTTTATTTTTATTTGCTTATTAGTTTTTATGCATTTTGTACAGGGTCTCACTACGCAGCTTGGACTCACAGTGGTCCTCCTATTTTTGGCCTCCCCAGTGCTGGGATTATAGGTGTGTACAACCATGCCTGGACTAAAAGTCATTTTTTAAAGGAAGAAAAAGGGGTGTGTGTGTGTGTGTGTGTGTGTGTGTGTGTGTGTTGTTGTTGTTGTTGTTTCCTTCAGGAACACAAGTACAATATCTCAGCAGCTTTGAAGTGAAATTCTAAATAAACACATCAAACCTTGTCTTAAGCCAAGACTGTCTCCAGCTGGTCTGCTCATTTAGAAGGGCCAGTGAAGTGAATAATTCATGGCAGGTTAGGGGGCAGGAATCAATAAAAGGCTTGAGAACTCCTCACGTTACTTTCATGGTTCAGATGCAATCCAGACACATCCTCGTCAAAATGGGCTACCATCTGCTCACTGGCCTTCGGCGCCGGACTATGTTCTTACAACAAGGCTGCAGCCTCCGTCACCAAACATAACCGTCCCCCTGAAGACAGATGCTGAATTACCTGCTAGTGCGGGAATGCCGCCTGCCTCGTGACGATATGAAAGGTGACTGTGCTCCCATGAGCCCTTGCGGTCCGGAGACTCTTAGGACCCCGGTGAGATGCTGTCTCAGTCCCCAGAGCTGCTCATGGTACCTGAAAGCAACAAATCTGTGGTATCGCAGCATGACCTAGTGCATTCTAGCCACTTACTAGTCTGGAGTTATAGCTGCAACCCTTATAGCTGAATTGACTCCTAGTTTTTAAGACACTGTAGTCACCATCAGAATGTTCCAGTTCCCACTTTGCTACATGCCCAGTTCATGCTTGCATACATCTCCCTGGGAGAAGCATTCCGGGTTTTAGTTCTTTTACACCTAAAAACTAAAGAAATGAGCATGGAGCATTCACAGTAGATTCTGTTACTTGTTTCATAAAGGTGCCCTGGAGAAAGGAGGGGGCATCACAGATTAGCCAAATGTGGAAGACATTCCCTCCAGCATTGTCCAAATGAGGCTTGGTCCCTAACACGATGTTGCCACCTTAATCTCGTCAAGTGAAGCAAAGAGCCTTTCTGGCAAATATTTTCTGCAACTTCATGAAGTATAATTTACTTGCTATAAAGTTCACTCACTGGAAGTGTACAGCGTAATGAATTTTAAGCCCTCTAAAGAGCCAGGCAAATGTCACGAACATTTGATGTTTAAACTGACTCCATCATCCCCCGGAGAGCTTTCATTCTTCTCTCTCTTACGTTCATCAAGTCCAGCCTGTCACTGAATCCCACCGGCTCCATTTCAGAATAGATACAGACCGTTCTGACCACGTCCATCATGACCATGCTGGCCTGAGCCCACCTTCTGTCATCTTCAGAAAAGCTCAGACTGCACGGGGAAGTGGGAGAACCCAGCTTTCTTATCTATCCCACTTACCATTTCCGGTGTCACCTGAGTGTTTCTCCCAAAATCAGTTGCTAAAGGAAGTACCTGGAAGTCCATACGGAAACATTCTCAGGCAGACATTTCCAAAGATACAGTATTACAGAAATGAATACTTTTGTATTGAACTCTATGATGGTTCTTAGTGAGGCATGAAAGTTCTTATTGCAATGATTGCCTCAGTGGAACTTGGGACGTACTTAGAAAAATAGGAAGAAAAGAAAACACTACCAGTTTTGTTTTGTTCTCTTGTGTACCGGGAATCGATCTCAGGACCACTCTGAGATCCCATCCATTGCCAGGGAAATGCCCTGCCACTGAGTGCTAGCCTTCGCCCCGAAACACTGTAATGGTGACTGAAATATTTTGCACCAAATGGTGCATTTTTATTCAGCGAAAGCCTGTGTGTTCCTGTTGTGCTCCAGAACTCCAGAAGTCCTGAGAGAGTAAATAAAATCTGAAAGCTACAGTGGAAACTGTGAAAGGGAAAGAAACTGCTCAAAGGGAAGAAACAACTGGGATGAGGAAAGGAGAAAAGGAAGAAAGAAGGAAGAAAAAGAGAAATATCTACGTATATACACACAATAGCTTGGATGATTGATTTCTGCGGGTCTATTGAAAGGATCAGTTAATGCTTAAACTTTGTTCTCTCTTTCCTTTTAAAACTTTTATAACTTTTGGGACCAAGTTTGCATGCTTATATCTGGTAATCTGAACAATCCAATTTGAAGACAGCAATATGCAATAACCATCACTGTTATTCTGTGTCGTTTCTAACTTTTTGACTAATTTTTATTGTCCTTAAAAAATAAAAAGGGAAAAAGAAGAGTTCTTCCTTTCCCAGTAGTGGTCTGTGTGAAGAATAAACAGTGACCAAATGCATGTGGGGGAAGGTGGGGAGTCCAGGCTTGGCCAGCTAAGGCTCAGGCAAGGAGAAAAAGAAGGGAATTTTTCACCTACCATGAAGAGCTTTGAAAATTTCATAAAAATTAAATTTAAAAAATTTAAAAAAGAACCTTGTGACATACTCGTATATCATCATGGTCACATCCCTGAAAA